AACCTGCGCTATTACTACTATTCCAAAACCCAAATATCAAGTTATTGAGCGCTGTCACCACCACCACCACCACCACCACCACCACCACCACCACCACCACCACCACCACCAGCAGCACCAGCAGCACCAGCAGCACCAGCACCAGCAGCACCAGCACCAGCACCAGCATCAGCACCACCACCACCACCACCACCACCACCACCACCACCACCACCACCACCACCACCACCACATGGGAGTGGAATCACATTCAAGAGAAACCCTGGCGCCTCTTAGGAAGTCCTTTAGAATTTCTTGTGTTTCTAGCTGGGCCCGATCACATTCTATAGCCACAGCCAAACATGAAAATCACATCAAGGGGCCGGATGTGTGTTATGTGTGTTTTTCCTATCCGCGGCTGCGGGGATTGAATGGAATTGCCTTAGCTCGTAACCAAATTCAGAAGAAAGTCTTGGGTTTCGTTAGGAAGTCCAAGGAGTCCCTCATAGTTCTTGCCAGCCCAGCCCCTGGGAAAATCCCAGCCACGGCTATGCAAACAAAACATGTCAGGAGGAGGGGCGGAGGGTTTTTTACGTAGCAGCGGCCGTGACGGTTTAATGCAGACTCTTCCCGCTCGTAATTCAACTCAATGGTATTCCGTAGGAAATTCCATACTACCCCCCTGGTAGAATTGCTTATAGCCATGTCCAGACAAACAACTGGACAACACTTCGTGGGAAGTCTTGGTAAGCTTTCCCCTCCCTGTATCTTGGCTGGTGTATTGGAGCGGGCGAAGCACCCCACCAATTGCAAAATTTGGACGAACATGACAACATGTGGGACTTGACATAAGCTACTGGTCTCAAAATAAGGGACTCCAATCATATGGGGACCCGCGTTTCAATAGGAACCCCACGATATAAGGACCCGGAGCATGATGAACTCAGGTCTTTGGACCCAGGTTCCGGGTTTCAGGGTTGGCCTAGGTTTCAAGCTTGTTGGGTAGCGGCTCAGGGTTGAGCTTTTTATGTTTTAGGGCAAAGTGTGTAGGTTCACTGCAGGACGCAAAAGGACTTTAACAAAATTGGAAAAAAAGCACACAAGTTGGAATTTGATGCTACCGGCGTCCGAAGATCATGTTGATCCATCAGCAACCTTGCCCGTGGCTTGCACAGTCCGACATACCGCTTTCAACTGCAAACTCCAATCTTGCCATTTGTCAATATCACCATTAAAGGCGAGAGGAAGAAGCCATGTGATTTCACTTGCGGCGAATTTTGTTCCAGCCTGCCAGAATCCGTTCTGTGAAGACAGCCAACAAAAGCACTGAAATTTCCAGTGCTCCGCTCACGTGGAAAATTCAAGAAATCACGATTTACCCAACCAACCAGACAACATGCAACTGATCAATCAAACCCTCTTCACAGTCAGTGTCACAGCAGGCTTGATCAATCCTTTGTGCAGATCAGCAGCGCACGCAACATATACATTCCATGTGACATACCGGACAGTCTGGTGACAGGTCAGTATCATCTAACACTGCAGCCACCGATCAATCGGCCGACCGACCAACCGTACACAGAAGGGGCTTTGACCGCGGTTGACCAGGAGCCTATAGCCACACCTAACAAGGTAACGTGGTGGTAAGAATGTGGGAAGGCACGCGCACCCTGACCTCTTTCCCTGCAAATGCACTCTAAACCCCAATAACGTCAGATTATCTAGTGGCGCTGTTCGTTCTCGTTGTGACCTTGCACTTTGCCGCTTGCAGGGTGGCTGTCTTGGGGTTCTGTCAGTGTCACCGCATTGTGCAGCGGGGATTCCATCTTCAACATGCCCCACACCCTCGAAGAGAAGGCTCACCACTCCCCATAAGGGCCTCCATCTTGTAAGGCCTCCTTAGCTTCGCCTGTTCGCTCCTGAATCACATCATCATCACTGCCGGCTCGTAGAAACTCAGTGAAATAAGCCAGAGCCTTGGATGGAGGGCAACTGTCAAGGCTGAACGGCTAAAGTGAAAGCCATGACAAGTACACCGCTTCTGCCAAGCAACAAGAAGCAAGAAGACGGTGGCTGTTGTAAAGCAAAGTACCGTCACCGAAAAGAGCTGAGCGATAGCCACACCCAGTGCTGCGGCAAGCAGCACGTGAATAACTAGAGCCATGTATGCGCCAACGAAAGCACGGCTCTTGCCGTAATTCATGGCCTCAGGTGGCAGGGGCAACATGATCTCAGGCAGTGCTGCTGCACAGCAACCTCAAAAGCAACATCTGGCAGTTGCACAACAGGGCTTCTCTTCATCCCTCCTTATCTTCATCTCTTCTTATACTGTGATGCAAATGACTGTCCTTTCGTTGGCATGGAATTGTGTCGCATGTGTGCGTGCGCGTGTCCTGGAAAAGCGGAAGAGGTGTTGTCATTGACTTTGATTCGTGGGCGTGGGCTGGGGCGCTAGGCTTTTTTTGTCTTGCATGGAGGGCTGCGGCGTAGTTCACCGGGAACACTTTCACCTTGCTCTATTTTCCCAACCCGCTGGCTGCAGGTTCGTCCGGCGATTTTATTGGCAGGAAGCTGTCTCCCTGGTTGGTGTGGCCAAACTCCGGGAGCTTCCAAACTCTGCATGAAAGTCTGCATGTTCTGGTACTGCTTCATAAGCTTACCTTGCCCCCGGCAGCATGGTGTTCAAATTTGCCAGTCAATATACTGGCTAAACAAGGGTGACATAGCATAGTAAGCTTCACCCGCTTGGAGTTCTGCCAGCAGCACCTCATGCGATCTGGAAACGTTGAGGCCGCAGGCTTCCTTCTGCTTTTTTGGCAACTGATGACAGGCCTTGTTCTGACAAGCTGTTACGAGAGACCTAGGGCTTTGGATCTGCACTGTTCTGAGAAGATCCCTATGGAAATATGATGGTGGATTTATCGATTGAGAGAGTGTTGGCAGCATGCACATGTTCGTGATGTCAAGAGTCTGAAAAGTCAGTAAAGTTACATCTCGAATGCGGTTTGCCAGGTTGTATCCTGACCCGTCTCATATACTCTGCACACCCAGTTTGCATCTGTCAATGCGTTATGCCATGTTTGCTGGCACTGTAGGAGTAAGTTGGAACTCATGTTCATCGTAGCCGCTTCTTCTGTACACAGGTGCCCAGTCCAGACCGGCATTGTGAAGACATGCAGCATCTAAATCAGGAAACAATTGGAAACAATTCGAAAAGTCCCAACCTGACTGTTGCCGGCTTCGCCACATCAAAAGGGGAAAGACGATAATCAACAGCGGTGGAGGTTACCACGATGTATATGAGCTAGACTCACGGCTAAGGGAGACTAACTGGCTGTTAGAATGTTGGACACTTAGTCAACTGGCGGCAACTCCCAGCCAAGTTGCAAAGGGAGCTCTGTAAGGCTTCAGCAAAGCTGAAGAGGAATGAAAAGTGGGTTTGATAAAGGCTTTGTTGAGGTTAGCTGACTTGCAGTGTTCTCACTGGAAGCCAGAGAAAGCTTTCTGAATGTTGAGAGATTACTGACTGACTCTTTTTTGGAATCTCACACAACCTCCTGTTTCCTTATTCTTGTACACCACTTGCCAACTGCTGAGCCCATCATGCAGTCAAAGGTGCGCAAATAAGCGCAACGAACCATGTTTTGTCAAAGAGCTCTGCAACGGCAACCACGGAAAACGAGCGGAGCACGACATTGAAGTTGTCTGGCAGACTGCTATATACTGTGCTTGTCTTTGTCGGCTTCTGCAGCTGGCCATCAAGGTTCTTTTTGGCCTCCAGCACGTGGCTTGAGGACTTGCTTGAGGAAGCAGCCTCTGCCTGCAACACTGCCGAACTTGCGTTCTGATCGCGAATATGGGCTAAGTTGGAGAAGCCGTGCGTTTGCTGCACGTGAGCGAGCAAAAGCGAAAGTACGCAGCGAATCATGGAGAGGGTGCAGCCCGGCACCAGGTTCACTCTCGGATGCTACACTTCTAAGAGCCCATAGATAGAGCTGCGGAGGTCACGAAAAGAGTCACATTGACGTGTTGGCTGCATCTGACGGACGGAAAGCAGACGAAACATACAGGTTCGTGGCCTGTCGTGGCTGATCGTAGGTTGCCCATTGACCTCACAAACATCTGCAAGGAGGACCACTGTGTCCTCCCAGCATGCACATAACAATTCGTCAGTTGTTGTCATCTATCCCATGTGGTCAAGGATCTGACATCCATTTTCATCTGATCGAGCAGAATTGGGGCACATGCCTCTGCAAAGGCTTCAGTTCAAAGATACATTCATGTTTCTTAATCCACGTTCAACGCGAAGCTTTGCTGAGATTGAGGCCCCAAGTTCTACAAAGGCCTCGAATTGTGTCCTTGTTTTTTGACTATTTTCTGATGAATCAGGACATAACAAGAAAGGGCAACTGCTGCTCAGGCTGCCACATAATCAAAGCCCTCAGTGATTATAGACATGGTCTGTCAGGCAGCTATCTCTCCGATGCCAAATAAGCATGACGCTCGGCAGCCTGTGTCCTGCAAGGCAGCAATCTCTACTCTCCCAAAAGTGGCATGCTTGCAGCTCTTTACTTCCTGCTCGCAGAGCTCTTCACATTCGAGCAAACCGGTGCGCAAGACCTCCAAGTCATGCAAAGCCAAACTACATTCCGAGCTTGGAGAATGCACCCTTTACACATCAGCACAAGCATTGATTTCACAGAACCACATGCATGCCGCCCCGAATTTGCATAGGCTGTACAAGTGAGCAAGCTTGAGAAGTATTTGGAGGCACTTGTTCAACTCCTTCGGAAAGTTCAGAGTGCGACATTAGCAACATTAGTGCAACCAAGTGCAGATCCTGTCGAAGTAGAGCTCCAGACGCCGGCATACAATGAGTACCTTATCTGCATGTAGCTACCTGCAGGAAGAAACACATGCTCACTTGGGCTTACTGCCTTATCTGACAATGCTCACGGAGTTAGATGGACTGACTTGGGGTGTCACAGTGCTTGGGACGCGTAGATTCCCGAAAGCATTCGCACCAGTCTTTTACTCAAGGCAGAAACCTTCCTGATGCGTCATGCAAGGCTCAACACTGAATGACTCCGAACCTTTGATCATCAAAGTCAAGACGTCTTAGCGAAAAGCCTCAACGGAAAAAAATACTGGCCAAATGTATCAGCACATGTCACAATGTCACATGGCATGTTAAATTGTTCGGACTCATGCGCGGATACAGGCTGCGCGCCACCAAGGTTCTTGCATCTCGTTGCCGTATACGTGCTTTCCACGAACGGATCCAAGATATCCCTGCCTGACATGAATGTCTGATCGAAGCCCATAGCTGAAGAAGGCACCACAGCTTCGCAAATCCACGCTGTTTAATTTCGGCCAGAAGCATTTTTAAGTCTATGAATGCTCAAGCTACTTCAAGACAGCAACAATTGCTCACAAAACAGGCCGCGAGACCCACCAGGACGCAATTGGCCCTTAGAACCTTCGTCTCGAATGGCAACATCAGGTCAAAGCTACGCCACTCAGAAAGCAAGACGGGCAGAATAGGCCTCCAGTTCCTCATTTGCCTGAGTACAGCTGGCCTCGTCGAGGCCTGCGCCCTGAAAGCAAAGCGAAAGCAGAGCCAAAAGCTCAGAGTTCTGCTATGTTCCGCCTGCTATGCAGTCGCTCTTTTCCATATTACGGCCCTTCCATTTGCAGAGGTTTGAAGACATGTCTTTGGAGCGTGCTCCGTATTGAAAGTAGCTGTGCCCTGAAGCTGCAAACGCCACGCGCGAGGTTGAGCCGATATGGAGATTGAATTCACGTCTTCACTCCCGTCCACAGGCATCTCAGCCACAGGGCAGTTGTCTGGATCAGCTCTTCGCCGCCTGCATCCCTCAAGACTGTTCCTACACAGGCACATTAGGCTCCAAATCCACAGGCATTCACATACGTTTCCTGTCGAATACAGTAGGCAAAGTTGACCCAGCAGATGTAGAAGACAAGTGGAAACTCGAGGGTCCCACGAAGCAAAGACTCAATGCAGACTGCGCGATCAGACAGATAGCACGCTGCAACAAAGTCGGGAACAAAAAGCATCGAGAGAGGTCTCTCCATCATCTGTGGCGCGGCTTGCCATTCTGTCCCACCTCCACACAGGAGCCAGAGGCCCCACAAAAGTGGTACAGGCCAAAGAAGCCGGCATTCCCTCCAGCTGTCAAAAAGTCTGAGGGTGCCGGGCTTCTGAACCAGGATCCTGAACTATACAGGACGAAAGGTCAGGAACCTCAATAAGCGAATTTGGGGTTGACACCGCGCATAAAGCTACAGTGCCATGTGATCCCTCTTTCAAGAGACCTAGCGCCAAAGAAAAGCTAAACATGCTCTCAGCCAGTCCAGGCTGAGAAGTTCTTGTGGCAAAGAACTTCATACCAGAAAGAGTAAGCTCCTAACACAAATGCAACTCCGACTCCAAGCAAGAGTGAGTAGCATAGTGTTGAAGCTCCTGTCGTGCACAAAAGCAGGGACAAACTTGCATCCCTTCAAGGGCACAAACAACTGCAGCAGCAGTGCTAAAACTCTATGGAAGGGCCTCACTTCCATAAGTTTACCAAACACAGGCCCGGCACAACATGCCAAGTTTGGATCTCTGGCAGAAACTTCATCAGCGAATGCTTCTGCTAGTATGGATATTGCGGATAAATCAAACATGGGCTATGACTCATGTCACAGGTCTGCCAGAGCTTCTTGCAAGGTCACCGGGCCTAAACTTCAAGAACAACCTGCCATTGACTCAGCGAGCTGCGACCTGGTGCGAGCGCAGCATCTTGCAACACTTGCGAGCATGCGCAAACCTGAACTGCACGCGCCTGTCCAACCAGTCGCACTGATGTGGCACGCGGGTGGCCCTTCTCACTGAGCGTCAAAGAGAAAATCACCTGTTCAGAGACAAGCATTCTGGGCCTAACCCCTGGAATTTGTGCAGCCAGGTCACCTTGTCGTTCACCTGCCAGTATATTGAACGTTTTGCAAGCCCCATCATCTGACATGGGCATGTGGAACTTGATGCGACAGAGGTCATTGGCTCATTTCATAATGATTTCTCACACTTCTTAGCCAAGCCCAAGTAGAAGAGCTGGAAGACTTTCCTGATGCATACAAACATCAGACGGCGTGCTGGATGGTCAGAGGGTTCATCTTCCCTTAAACCCAAACTAGGGTGCCAGTGGCCTGGGTCTGTGCGCCAACAGTGCTGCCCATGCTCTGTAGGAACTCATGCTCACACTCGCAGGCCCAAACGTCAGGAAAACAACGAGCAGACTCCACAAGTATCGCTGCACTTTAGGCTCACAACCAGCCTTTTCGGCCGGCCCTGAAAATTCGTTGAAGCAGAAGCCGTGCACGGGCTCTAGGTTTAGCCGCAGCGATGCAGCCCTTGCAACGTGCATCGCCACCAACTCTGCAATAACCGCCGGGAATCTGCCACTCTTCCACGCAACGCTGCAACGCTGTGCGCGCGAGGGCAGGCATGGTCCCGCTCGCAGGCCAAGTTGATCCAAGGTTTTTCATCCGGCAATGAACCTGAGACGACGACTTTGCAGTTTTGCCATTTTGGGGGATGGGACTCTCGAGAGATCCGCCCGGAAGCCTCCGCAACACTGCGCCACTGTCCATGGGCACCAGGGTGCATTCTTGCTGTTTGCGAAAGTCCAGTAAATTCTCACTTCCTCGTTTCTTATCGTTTCTCCAATGATGCTGATGATGCTGGCCGAGGGGGCTCATTTCTCCATTTTGGGCACCGTCATACTCATCAAAATCTACGCTTTTCGTCACACGGACCAAGCTCCCATCCTTTGTGCTGCGACTGGACAGCCACATCCACACCTTACTCACCAGCCTACAACTTGAATCATCCTGTGATCCTCACACAGGGCCCATTGCAAGCCTAGTTTAAGTTTACACAATCCCTCCTGCCTGGATTCCTTCAGGCAGAAGAGAGGAGTCCACGAAGACATCGCGCTTGTAGTGAGCCTGATTGCGCATAGCCAATGCAAAAAACCGGTCTTAGCACTGTCTGCGTGACTTTGCAGTGGCCTTCGTCTCGCTGCATGCGATGAAGCCATATCCGTTTTTGGCACCTGAGCTCAACATGCTCCTGATTTCAGGCCATGGCCTTTGCTTTTGCACTAACCAACAAGTCATCAAAACATTCGTGCCGAAGCAAAGGTTTGGCTATTCAGAAGAAACAAGCTGAGGAGCTGATTGACTTGAGCTGTCCTTCATGCTCCTGTTTCAATGCTGCCGGCGCCTCGTCCGAGGGTGCTGCCGTCGTGGCACCTAAGCTCAACTTGATGTTACTTTGCTATGCAGTCCGCCCCGCCCCCCCCCCCCTC